TGTTGAAGTCATCTAACAGCTGATCTGGGATAATGAAATAAACTGCACGAAAGATACATGATAGAAAGATAAGTCATCTCTAAACAAACCTGCTGATCTACCTAGGTTATCTTCCATTTGGTCACACACAAAAGCAGAAAGACATGAGATGAACTGTGAAAAAAGGGAAATGCAGGTCTTTGCAGAACAAAGGGTAAAGCCTGTTTTCATGACTAAAACTTTGTCACTGCCCGGATGAAAAACAGGTTTGATGATATGAGTAATTTTTAAATGCTTCTTCATAGCCTCCATGGAAAAGCCATGGCATAAATCAGAGGTCTCCAACCTTGACAACTTTAAGACCTGTGGACTTCAATTCCCAGAATTCTCCAGCCAGCCTGGCTGGAGAATTCTGGGAGTTGAAGTCCACAAGTCTTAAAGTTGCCAAGGTTGGAGACCTCTGGCGTAAATTGTTTCTCGGTGTTGGCAACATGTGAATTCCTTAACAAACAAACAAAAAATAGTAATAACATTATGGTAGTGTCTTCAAGGGAGGGTCAAAATAGGCAAGATGGTAAACACAGCATTGCAAACCAATCTCTGCCTTTTTCTCCTTTTGACAATGTCATTCATATCTGCAAATTGGGGGACCTTGGACTGAGGCATGTGCCTAAAATATTGCCTGTTTTATAGCTTCCCAGTGGGTTGTATTGATGGCCTCAAAGGGAATATTAGGGGGTAAAAACATGTCAGGAACTATAGTAGTAGTAATGGCTATGTTCCATCACCCAAGTTAGAAGTAATATGAGAGGTCCTTGGTGCTCTCTGAGCTTGTTTGTTTTCTTGCAGATCTTCCATTACCCAAACTAGGTAAGTGCTAGTCCTGGACTAGGACTAGCACTGATGATGTTACGTGGTTTGGGTAATAAAATGTCTGCAAAAAAACAAACAAGCCCAGAGAGCACCAAGGACCCTTCATTTCAACTTTGAGCCACAAATATTCTCCTTCATTGGCAGAAGTAATATGCCTATGGATAACAGATCCTGTGGACAATTTTCCTCCAGCCCTATACGTATGTTTCAGTGGTGGGATTCAATTTATTTTACTACCAGTTCTGTGGGCATGGCTTGGTGGGTGTCGCAGGGGAAGGATACTGTAAACCAGGGGTTACCAACCTTTTGGACCTCAGGGACTACCAAACTCATAATTTTAAATCCCGTGGATCCTAGGAAGATCCCCCAAAAAGTCTGCAGGAAAATTCCCCACCATATTTTCGTACCGATCGATCGTTCTTTATTTGGGATTGCAGGATACTGTCTCCAGCTCCGTTTGCAGGAGAGAGAGAGAGAGAGAGAGAGACTGAGAGTGAGACTTTTGGCTTCATGCAAGGAAAGCAGCAGTAACAGCAGAAGTCTTTCTTTCTCTCCTCCAAACACCGCCAGAAATGAGTCTTTGTGAGACTTGTCAAACTGGCACAGCTTCTTGGAGCAGGATGCCTTGCAGGGTCCCAAAGACTCATTTCTGGTGGAGTTTGGGGGAGGGAAAGAAAGACTTTTGTTGCTTTCCTTGCGTGCAGCCAAAAGCAGAAGAAGAAAGAAGCGGAAAGAAGCAGCCCGGTGGCCAGGCCAGGTGTGAGGGGTGAGTGGGGCAAGTTCCCCCCTCCGCCCTTTCCCCCTTCCCCTCATTACCTTGTGTTGTTTGCAATGCAAGCTACGCAAGCCTTGTGTTCCCACTGGCCATGTGGGCAGCACAGTCTTGTGTTCCTGCACAGCCTGGATTAATTTCTTTGTGGGTGCTTTGTGGGGTGACATTTCTCTGCGGACCACCAAAATTTTCTCACAGACCACCAGTGGTCCCCAGCCCACTGGTTGGCGACCACTGCTGTAAGCTCTCCAGTCAGAGGTAGTATTTGCTGGTTCTCCGAACTACTCAAAATTTCCGCTACCGGTTCTCCAGAACTGGTCAGAACCTGCTGAATACCACCTCTGATATGTTTCCTAAAAGCCTTGACTGACCGTTCTGCAAAACAATGTATTGGATTTGATAAGACTGGTTTTTTTAACAGGATTACCATATTTGTACTCACAAACAATGATTTGTGTTTCCTTCCTGTCATCTTTGGTGTCACATATAATTCTCCAACTTTATATTGCAACACTGGACTAAATTGTGAAAGATTGAAATGACTGCACCCACGTGAAAACAATTTATTAAAGGGAGAGGTCTGAGATACTAGACAAGATTCAAAACACGTAAATTAATTACCACTTACAGTGTTTCCCATTTTAACCAGAAGTATTTTACAAACTAAAACTTTTTTAAAAATGACCTGTGTTTAGTCAGAGTAATTGGAGCTCCCTCAACTTTTATAGACTGTAGCAGAAATTAATAAATACACAAAAGTAACAGCGCATGATGTATTTTAATTATATCCTGCTTATTAAAGCAAATTGCTATGAAATTACCTGAGCTGTACAAACATAACATCTCAAAATTATCCACCCTATTTTCAGTCCAGAAAGCAGGGGGTGGTGTTTTGAAAGTAAGAAAAAAAGAACAGAAACCAAATGGTGACTTTTCCCCTTGAAAACGTAACAGTTTAGTTATGTCGCCTGATATGGCTTCTCCCTATATTACCCTTCCCCACCCAATCCCCAAACAAATATTGAAAATGTTGTTTTCCTTGGAAATGTGTTGATGGTCTAGCACACTTAATCAAACTGACTTTGGAGGTAATCTAATATCATTGAAGGGCAATGTTAACAAAAACTATTTTTCAGAAAAAAAATCAAAAAATCCAAATAAGCCCCAAATCTATGCCACCCCACTACAGGATTTTCCCTTGTATCTTTTATCTAATTCTCACAATTTAAATTCAATTGACATTTCCAGAATGATGCTTTCCCAGCCTGAATCTGTTCTTCTTTCATAATATCTTAATTATCCATCCCAATATTTCAGATTAAATGAGGTTGCTTTTCTTCTTTGTCAAGAACTGGCGGTTCTTGCTCTTCTTGCCATGCAAGTTTTCAAGTTTATTTTTACACTGATATAAAATAGGTATATTCAGGGTGGGATTCAAAATTTTTAACAACTGGTTCTGTGAGTATGGCTTAGGTGGTGGGCATGGCTTGGTGGTCATGTGACTGGGTGGACATGGCTTGGTGGTCATGTTATTGGCTGGGTGTGGCCAACTCAATATCACTCACATCGAGGCACGCATCTCCTCGCCTGGCCTCTCTTGATTGTGGCGATGCTGCAACAGTCATAAGTATGAAAAATGGTCATAAGTCACTTTTTTCAGTGCTATTGTAACTTTGAATGGTCACTCCACACAAGCAAAGTACCAGCAAAGGAGGGTAAAAAAAACTCCAGAAAAGTTCCTGAGACAGGAAGTCTAGTCCTGCCAAAAATGTAATAAGGGTTAAAGGAGAGGCAGTTTCTGTAAGCAACATCAGAATGTTTCCTTCCTGCCTTCCTTACAGGATTAGGCCAGTAATTTCTTCTAACAACCGGTTCTCCGAACCGCTTAGAATGTTAACAACCGGTTCTAGCGAATAGGTGCAAACTGGTAGAATCCCACCCCTGGGTATATTATCCCCCAACCTCTTTTGCTCATGTTTGCTTCGATGTTGCCAACCTCTTCAGAGGAACAAGGGCGCAGTTCACTCTTAAAATATAGCTTCCAGTCGCAACATATTTTCTGCTTAGTTTATTTATTGAGAACAAAGGAAAAAGAGTTATGCTATCATATTGTTTTTATCTTTCATTGATTTTAAAAAATTATTTGTAAACTCATCAGAGAATATTAGCTATTAAAAATACATAATATGCTTATTATATGTATTACATAATAAATTAAAGATACAATAACCTGTAGCCACAGCAACAATCTAAATAATAATATCAAGAATAATAAGGGTCTGACATACACATGATAGAAGCAAAGATTACAATTGTGAATCATATCACTTAAAGCACATTTTGTTTGATGACTTAAAGAAATGACTATTCAATGAATATTTCTGGGAAAACTTTCTAAAATTCAGATGCTACTATACAGATCAAATGCTCCAAGATCTACTAATCCAGATAGAGTAGGATTTTGACAAGCTTGAACACTGGGTACTATCTAACAAAATGAAATTCAATGGTGAACAAAGTATGGTTCTACATTTAGGCAAGAAAAACAAAATGCACAGGTACAGTATATGTGGTCACCAATAGTGGTGATTCTGAGAGGTATCTTGGAGTTCTAGTGAACAGCCATTTAAATATGAGCCAGCCGTGTGCTGCAGCTGCCAAAAAAGCCAACACAGTTCTAGGCTGCATAAACAGAGGGATAAAATCAAGATCATGTGAAGTGTTAATACCACTTTATAATGCCTTGGTAAGGCCACACTTGGAATGCTGCATCCAGTTTTGGTTGCCATGATGTAAAAAATAAGTTGATGCTCTAGAAAGAATGCAGAGAAGAGCAACAAAGATGATTAGGCGACTGGAGACAAAATCATAAAGAATGGTTGTAGGAACAGGGTATGTCTAGGTTAATGAAAAGAAGAACTAGGGGACACATGATAGCAGTGTTCCAGTATCTCAGGGGCTGCCACAAAAAAGAGGGAGTCAAGCTATTCTCCAAAGCACCTGAGGGTATAACAAGAAGCAATGGGTGGAAACTAATCAAGGAGAGAAGCAACTTAGAACTAAGGAGAAATTTCCTGACAGTTAGAGCAATTAATCAGTGGAACAACTTGCCTCCAGAAGTTGTAAATGCTCCAACACTGGAAGTTTTTAAGAAGAGTTTGGATAACCAGTTGTCTGAAGTGGTGTAGGGTTTCCTGCCTAAGCAGAGGGTTGGACTAGAAGACCTCCAAGGTCCCTTCTAATTCTGCTATTGTACATAGTATTAATATGTCATAGCCAAAATATATTATGTTCTAAAGATATAGGAAACTGATATAGCCATTAATAATAAGTTAATCCACAAAAATTGCAACAGCTTGTTTCGTCAGTCTTCCAGTCAGATTTGAGAAGATGTCTGTTTGGTCCGAGGCTTTTTTCTCTCTATTGCTCTTTGTAAAGCTTGAAGGATTAAGTTTTTGTTATTCTGAATGTTGTAACTGGTTAGCTCTATTAACTTATCAAAATTCTCCTTGGTGTATTGAAAGTTTTTTATTTCATATGGCGAACAAAGACTAGTTACATCAACTTCACCTTGCTTCATTTCAGTGGGACCACGTTTCATACCTGAAAAACAACATTTACCATTACATATATTATTTGCTCAACATCTACACAACAAAGTCAGCATCATTTTATTAGTGCTGCTATCCCTATTACAGACACAAATCAATATCATGTTGTTTATCACAAGAGTTGATCTGAGCTAAACCTTCTTCTGCTGGATTATATTAGGGTTGGGGAACCTGTGGCTTTCTGAATTACAGCTTCCACCATCTTTCAACATTAGTCATACTTAGTAAAAAAGAAAGAGTCGGAAAAAAGAAAATCACAAAATACACACACTCATCAATTCCAAATAGAAGATGTAGCTGAATTGAGTTTGCAAATATCTCAAGGGCCACACATTTCACCCACTGGAATATAATAACTTTGGCTCCACTATCCATCCATTATAGTAGAATGGCAGGAATGTTGAGGCCTCTGCTGAGAAGGAAGCCTGCTGACATTCAGCTGTCAAGCTGCAAAGCATCTATTTTCCTAAGTTCAGTTTTTACATCATTAGGGTGCTATTCCATCCCACAAACAAACAGGAACTTCCATTCTTCCTAACTTCCTGTTTGTCATGGGATGGAGTAGCATTTTAATGATGCAAAGGCTGAAGACTCTAAAACAAGTCATAATGAATGTTGGAGAGGAAGGAAAGACAAGCACTTCAAAGGCATTATAACGCCCATAATATTAGATCTATTTAACATAAGAAACTTAATTTTGCAAGGAGACGGCGGGAAGCAGCTTTTGAATGTTGTGCTAGGGATTGCATTCAAGAAGTAGAAAAAGCCAGGAGAGAGATATGGGGCAAATCCTTACTTTAATTTAATTTAACAACTTCCCTCCACTGTCATATTAAGCAATACAGTTTGGGGACAAATTTCCCAAGGGTCCTTTGGACTAAACCCAGAATTGTAAGCCCATATATGTCCCTGGGACTCCAGACTATACGCCACTGACTTAATGTAATTGAAACAGTTTAATATCTTCTGGACTACTCCAACGTTGTACAACTGACAAGTAGCTTCTTGGATGAGAAGCAAAACATCTTCAGGGAAAAAACAAAGTCCAATTGCCATTTGAAAATCATCTTTGGGACAACTAACAAGATATTTTTTAAAATAAAGAGTTATAAATAAAGAAAATGAAGGTCAACTTAGCAAAGGATTATGAGTAATGATGATAGGCTTGTGTAAACTTCCAAATGTTTATAATAGCACAAGTGTAGTAGAGCGTTTAGTTCACCAAATGATGAAAAAATTGTTAGATCTGTTAAGGAACCAAGGAACTTACCTGGTGCTTTGTATTTCTTGAAGGTATCATTTATTAGTGGGAAAAAAACCACAATAGGTGCTTCGGAATCTGTAGCATCTTCAAAAACATAGCACTCCTTCAGATTCTTTTCCCTACTCAGATCTATTTTGGGGAAAGGAATCCCTTGCTTTGCAAAGTATCTGGAGGCTTTCTCTAAAGGCTAGATTATCACAGGACAAAGCAAATAATAACAATAAGAAGCAGAAGTTGCACTAATAATAGTCAGATTTCTTTCTTGATTGATGCAGGCTTATTTCTTGACCTTTTACTCAGTGGTGGGATTCATTTATTTATTTTTTACTACCGGTTCTGTGAGCATGGCTTGGTGGGCATGGCAGGGGAAGGATAATGTAAAATGTCCAGTTAGAGGTGGTATTTGCCCGTTCTCTGAACTACTCAAAATTTCTGCTACTGGTTCTCCAGAACTAGTCAGAACCTGCTGAATACCACCTTTGCCACTCCAATTCATTTCTACCTAGAAAATCAAGGGAACGTGTAGGGGGTGACTAGATTGAGCCCAAGAGAGGGATCAAGTGCCTCCATCAGTGTAGAGTCTCTTTGTGCCCACAAGAGATCTAAGTCCAGTCATCCTTCAATTCCATTGAGTCTTATCTACTGCCAAATTTGCCTTGACAGTTAGTAGTACAGATTCTTGTTTAGAGATAGCATGGAATAATCTTGTACCCAATTGAACAACCCTGGTTCCTGATTTCTTACACTTGCCAGAAGACTTAATAGGGATCTATTAGTTAAGGATAATCTCCCTTGGCATACAATTCAACTTATCTGTGCACGAAGAACGTGACTGGGTAAATGAATATGGTTCCACTGAGCCTGTATAATGGTATATGGGAATGGCCTTGAGAGATATGGTAACAAGACACAACTAAGGGAAAAGTTGCATAAAAGGCAGCTTAGCCTACAGCTGGAATGTGGGCAGAGCAAGTGGCTTAGAAGAGAGATCTTCCTAGTTTTGGGGCTGGAAAGGGAAAGGAGAAAAAAAAAGTATTTTCAGACTTGCAAGATTGATGTACAAGGTATATCAGACAAGAAATAAGACCAGATGAACTAATTCTACTTTACTGTAGGCTAATTCTGTTATTGTAATCAACAGAACCATGTCCATGTCTGCATCTTATCTATATTATTCCTACATTAAAGCCTGTGAGGGTCTTCTGTGAAAATAATAAGTGTCTTGATTTAGACTCGATTCTGAATTTGGTCCTTACAATGTTCAAATTGCTTTTCATACAGCACCTAAGTCACACACATTGGCCCCTTAGGCAAAAATAGAATGTTTCTTTGCTTGGGATATTTAGGCTGGATATTTACCCAGAGGTAGATTATTGTTCTTGAATAACCTGAATCTTGTAATCAGAACTGATCAGTAATGGATGTGCGTAGATGGAGTGTCAGGATTTCTTGCATTTAAGATATACTTAAGTATAGGGTGCCACTGGAACAACTTCCTATAATTTCCCAACTCTGTGTGCTCCATAACTTAGCTTTGTGTGTTTCAAACATAACAGCTTCTTAAGAGACATTGGTATTTTCACTGGATTTTACAACGCCTCGTGTTTTGTTCACTTAAAGATGACCATCAATAAAAACCTGCATATTTGGAACTTGCATTACACACTAGGATTAGCAACTAAACTATTGACTTCAATAGCGAATGTCCCTGCTAATTTCACCTCTGGACTGTTAGCAATAGCACTTAGACTTATATACCACTTCATATTGCTTTATAGCCCTCTCTAAGCAGTTTACAAAGTTGCATATTGCCCCCAACAATTTTTACTGACCCTGGAAGGATAGAAGGCTGAGTCAACCTTGAACCATTCAGTATTCAAGGTTGTGAGTGAGCACAACTCCTGGAGTAAGCAGTGAGTTAACCTGCAGTACAGCATTCTAACCACTGTGCCACCACAACTCAGTTAATCACTTTATCAAAAACTTCAGCCAGACAAATTGGGGAGAGAAGACACTGAAATGGAGGTAAGAGCAAATCCTTTTCTACCCAGCTTTGTGACCTCCATAGATAATCTCTAAGACTTTTAAAGAGGGTTTTCTTGTTGCCAGTACTACAATAACAGTGTTTAATATGGGTGAAAATGCAATTGTGTATGTTAATCCCCAAAGGGAATGGCACCATCCTTTTAAGCCCATTTAATGCTAGCATTCTCAGACAAAGCAAAAGCACATACTGTATATGGACATGCATGTAACCTCTCAGAATTCTTTTCTGTAGAATTCTGTAAGTGTAAGACACAAACTAATGACACAAAAACAACACTTAATTGTAAGTCATCTTACTGTTGTTTGTGAGCCTGAAGAATAATTCAAATGTATAATGACATCCACTTTTCTCTCTGGTTTCATCAGTGGTGCATAGCTGGTGTCTATATAGGCAGCTGTATCTATAAGGCTCAGATATTCCAATGAAGTCATCAACTGGTTAGGAAAAGTGTCCAGTACAGTATCTGAAAGGCAAACATTTTCTTTAGCAGTTCATAGCTTCAAAAAGTAGTTTGCTTTTTGGTTTGATTCAACTTCTAATTTTCTTTAGGACACATGGCACATCACATTTCCACATTCATAAACTGTAACTTGTGGAGTATGGAATGTTATTTGAAGCAGCTTGTTATCCAATTACATTTGATTCAAGAGAAACCTTAATAACTAAATGTTCTTTTGAAAGTATTGTTGCACTGAAAATTGCCAGTGTGAAACAAGAATGAAATAGCACCTGAAGAGCATCTGACCAGAATGAAACAAGGAAGCAGTTGATTAACTGCCAACAGATTTGCTTTAATAAATGAAACAAGAGAAAGAAAAAGAAGGTTTTAAAAAGGAGGAGAGGAGAACTAAAAACAGAAAATAAAGAGAACAAAAAAACACATGCTTCATTCAATCTAATTTTTGCACTGATCATTAAACCTTGACTACATGGAATGATATTAACTAATATTTCCATAATATTGAGAGATTGACAGTGAATATATCACAGGAATTCAGATTTAAACCATATTGATCTTTGTAATACTATATTAATAAATATATGAAAATTAAACAAAAATGGGCAAAAGCAGACAAATCAATATCACCCATAATATACTTTCAACATAACTATCAACTTTTAAAAACATTCCCTGTGAATGTAAATGTGAAAAAGAATTTTTGTTAAATTAGCCTCAAACTAGAACTACAGTTAAAATTCCTTAAAAATCTTACTGAGTGGTATGTGGTACCCCAACTCTTATTCTTCATTTCTTGCAAATACCTTTTGCAATATTTTTATTGTTCATTTAAAATATTGTGGAATTAGAATTATCCCACTCACTTTCCAATAATATAGCTGAGCCAGATTGTAAACTCATGACTCTCTTGGCTATTTTGGACTATTTTGTGCTATATTTTAGTGGCTGTTGTGCAGTTGTTAATGTAGTTTGTTTAGTTTGGGGAATCCAGCCATCATAGTTTATTTGACAATTGCTATTTTCAAGGGAGAGATATGTCCAACTTTATACATCTTACTAATTATATTTTAATATTAATATTTGCATTTAAAAAAAAATCAGGTCATCATCTTAATGAACAAACTGATACAAATTTTCTTAGCATTTATCATGTACCTTTCCATATATAAAAATTTTTATTCTCTAGATATCCATTGTTTAATTGGAATCCATTTAAGAAATTGTAGACTTCTGATGTTGATACACGCTCTGTTATGACTTTGCGAACTGTCTTCATAATGTTACATGTAGGCTTGACCAGGTAAGTATTCACTGCTTCTGCTACTGGTGGCAGAGGTGGTTTTTCTTCTGAACAGAAGATATATAAGTTAATTTAGTGCAGCAGGCATTAAGAGGAAAAGATAGACTAGTGTATATTACAATATTTTTCTCATTGATTATCACTGCAGAGTATACCAAAAGCCAAACCCCATTGAATATTTATTATATGCATTACTGTATATTAAAAATGTTCTGAATTGGTTTTCATTTTCTTCTAAAAACTGTTATATGACCTTACTGTATTCCTTAATACAGTAGCATTTTCTGTGGGGGAAAAAGAGTAAAACATATTGCGATTGGTCTATAGAGCTCAACTTTTGGTATATCCTGTATGGCTCAACTTTTGGTATACCCTGTATGGAGGGATGGGGAGAGGAAGGGAAGAAGAGAGAGACAAAGATTGTGTGCCTGTATGTGTCTATATATATTTCTGCATATATACACATATATACATATAAATATCCATGCATACAAACATACATACAGTCATACATATAAATGCAACACAGATATTATTTTCATATGCTCATTAATATAGACTTAATATAATAGGTAGGCTAGTCTCTGACTATATGTGGAATAAATAAATATCCCTTACACTTCTCAAATTATTCACAGCAAAATCACTGGCTCCCAGCTAAGCCCCTTTCTAAACAATACCCAAATGGAAACTATCCAAACTAAGTTTACAAGAACAGTGTTCCAAGTTCCAAAATACATATCTAATGCAAATTTGAGATTAGAATCTGGTCAGATAAAGATGGAAGTTACAACATGTTTATTAATATTTAATTGCTAGCTTCAATCCATTATTTTTCAGCTTGGGTGGGTCATCCCTGATGTCAGATGAATTTGAGACCTCATGAATTCAAGCAACTGAATTCAAGCAAGAACTTTCATCATTGGCATCTCCCTTGTTTCCCTATATTCTCTTGATTTTACTCAGACTGGAAGAGTCATTAAAGAAAGACTTTTTGACATTGAAAGAGGACATCCCAAATTATCTCCAAATTTGGATTAAAATTACATGAAAATCATCCAGCTACATCAACTTACTCATCTCCCCAGCCCAACAAAGATTCTTCTTTATAATCAGATATAATAGTTTACCTTCAGTGCTTTTATATGGGAAATTCAATAAACTCTTCATATTAATTGAACCTGTCATTGTGATGAAGAATAATTGAATTTATTCTTCATTGATACTTTTATAATTATATCTGAAGAAGACTTATTTTTCCTGCCTTGCTACATGCCTTAAACTATCCTGAAAAATTTCATGGCAGTTTCCTCTTATCTAACAAGAGAAGTGCTATCATCCATAATGTAACGAAGTTCTATATAGCTGCTATGAATGGGCACAAACATATTATCACACATGACAGATACCCTTTTATCTCGTTATTATATCTTCAGGACTGAAATATTTATTACTTTACTAATAATTTTAATAGTTTAGACAGATATTCACCTTTGCAAATATTTCACCTTTTCCAATATGCATAACTAAATGTCTATGAAGATTCTTAATCATCCATGTCATGGCTGTCCCAAAGGTGCTTTTTTCAAGAGGCAACTGGATTTATTGCTTTTCTTTGAAGATGTTTCACTCATCATCCAAGAAGCTCCTTCAGCTCAAGAATCTTGGATGAGAAATGAAATGTCTTCAAAGAAAAACAAGAAAGTCCAATTGCCTCTTGAAAAACAGACCTTTGGGATTTCATTTTTTCAATTTCTCAGGGCTATGTGGATAATTTGTAGGATTGTTTTTTTTCTTTGCTTATTTAGTTTATATATTGTATGTTTTATTTAATATGGCCACTGAATGAAATAAATATTATCTATAAATCATTTGGTACATGATGAACACATTCAGTTCACCGCAGTACCTGCTCAACGTGATTTATGGAAGGATGGTGACTGATATCCTGCTTCACTTCTCAGAAGCACTGGGGAAGTAAATGCATACTGCTTTAGGTATGCATTTATGAGCTCAGTTCTGTACTACCAGAGTATACTGTTATGTTGATCATTATTTTTGTCATTATTCTATAACAGCGTTTCTCAATCTCAATAACTTTAAGTGTGTGTACTTCAACTCCCAGAATTCCCCGGCCAGCATGGTACTGGGAAATTCTGGGAGGGAACGCCACACAGCTTAAAGTTACCAAGGTTGGGAAACATTGCTCTTTAGGGTACAGCTATTAACTTTTTCATTCATTCAGTGGCATTTTGAAATATGAATGAGATCTATCTACTGAAGTATGCCTGTATCTATTAACATCCTACAGCATTTTTTGAGAAAGACTACTCTAGTTATCAGTCTAAACTTTTAAATATCTGAAGTTCAATAAAAGAAAACATAGCAAAGGCCAGTAAAGTTCTGTATGTAATTTGTTGCAGTGGGTTAATTGGTTTTTTTCATTATATTTTAGAATTAACTTTTTGCAATAAATATAGCTGCTTTGAATTCACTTAATAGAAATTTACACCCAGGATTTTATCACTATAATCGATATTCCAGAGAGGTATTATATAAACTAAACAATCAACATCCATAATCAAATTTAAAGCGATTTGTATTTTACTAACCTATTTGCTTTGTTTTGTCATGGGTATAGCTATACCAAAAACTATCTTCTGAACTGTCAATTTTATGCCATGCATCCAAGAGGTTGTAGGAAAACACATTACTCCACATACCTAAAGAAAGATCAAGAGTTAGTAAGTTATTCAGGTTTAGTTCAGAATTGTATACATCAAAAGGTCTGTTTTCCAAACAGTTCTGAGTGTTAAGACTGCAGTCCTATGGTTCTTATGAAGATGTCTCACTCTCTAAGAGTTCAGAGCAAGCTTCCACCTCAGAAATGCTGATCCCTAAACTTCCACAGGAACTTTGCCCAGGCTGGTTCCCCAGAGGGTCCATTTTCCATGATTTTTAACAATTTAAACTTTAGCTGTTGGAAGTCTCTGAAACAATATGGATTGCTGAATAAAAAGTTTTATATACTTTTATTTATTTATCAAATTTAGAAATTGCCCATTTTCCTCACAGAAAGATTCTGGACAGTGTACAAATACATTATTTAAAACATAAAAACTATACATACATTTTTTTAAAATTGGATGGGAAATTGTTCAACGATAAAATATAGACTTTGTGGAGGAAAAGTCCCAGCACCGGTTCACTGCATATTTCTTTGAAAACTTGGAGCTAAGTTAGTACTTATACAAAGCAGAAAAGAAGCCAAAATGGGAGGTTTGTGGCATCTCAAAGATATTCATATTAATTAAAGCATAAGCTTCCATAAAATAGAATGTAACCTTCATTGGACATTAGCAATATGTTGTTCTGATTTAAAAGGAATTAAAGAATATTATCAAGAAATTTGGAAGCCAATAAAAATGTCTCAGCCTTTTTCTCTTGGTAGTTTTGAAGAACAGCCTGGTCATTCATTCAGTTCATTTCAGTAAATGTTGTGCCTTCGAGTCATTACTGGCTCCTGGCAAATCCCTTGGAGAACTCCCTGCAGTTTTCTTGGCAAGAGCCATTGCCTCTTTCCTAGGGATTATGAGAGAGAGAATAGCTGACTTCAGATTACCCAGCTGGCTTTATGTTTAAATCAGAACTAGAACTCAGAGACTTATGGATTCTAGCCTGGTGTCTTAACCATGGCATCAACCTGACTCTCTGAATTGAAAGTACCCAAGAACATGTATAGTAATTAAAGTATTGATCATGCTAAATATTGTTGAACTGCCCAGAGCAGCATAACCCATATTAATAATCAGAGCAACAGAAGAAATATGTTACTCTATATGAATCTTCAGTACTGTTGGTCCTTGAAGTCAATTTTTAAATCTTCAGAAAAATCAAAAAAATTAAGGAGAAAGTTACAAAAGCAGAAGAGCGCTGAACTAGAGAATTTTTAGATGCTTTCACAGCAGGGCCCAGGGCTCTTTCATAACTCAGTGTGGGTATGTCTTTAAAGGAGAACAATTGCTTCACAGAAATAGAGATGCTGGGGACTTGTTGTTTCTTGTACTATGTACAAGTTTATATTCAGGCATTAGGGAAAAACAGTAGTTTCCAAACTGTTCAATTTCTGTCAATTTCTGCCTCTTTCCCAGGGCTATTGACTAGCAGCCACCTGCTCAACAATATTTTAATGAGTGGCCCTGGCTCTGTCCCTTGGTACACAGGTTTTCAAAAAAAAAAAGATACACTATTTTTAAGGAAGAGATTTGTTAATGGCAGAGGAACAACACCCCACGCACACTGCCAGTGTTTTTCCTATCTGATCAGAAGAATTTAATTACAAATAAAGCAAAAAAAAATTTACTCAAAAATAGGGGGAATATATGCTTTGATAAAGGACATAAAAGGGAAAAATTGGGTGAGTTTTAAGCAGTACATTTTTTATAAAGTTTATATTTATACCACTGTATTAATGTTCTTTTGGGTATTTTCATGCTGAATAAAATGGCCTCTGACTGAAAGTATTATGGACTAGGCTTTTCCACAATGCAGCCTTTAGCTTTCTGGTATAACTGAGTAACAGAATTGGAGGGATCTTGGAGGTCTTCTTAGTCCAATTGCTCAAGCAGGGAAGTACAGGGGTGTCAAGCTGGCGGCCCGCAGGCCAGATGCATCACACACAGGTGACATCCATCACAGTTCCGCAAAGGCAAAAAACATTGTGATACGTCACGTGACATCATGTGACATGATTGAGTTTGACACCTGTGCCCTATATCATTTCAGGCAAACCTCCAGTGTTGGAGCATCTGCAACTTTTGGAGGCAAGCCATTCCACCGATTAATTGTTCTGTCAGGAAATTTCTCCTTAGTTCTAGTTTAGTTCTCTCCTTGATGAATTTCCACCCATTGTTTCTTGTTCTACCTTCAGGTGCTTTGGAGAATAGTTTGACCCCTCTCTTCTTTGTAGCACCTCTTTAGAAATGGGAACACTGCTATCATGTCACTCCTAGTTTTTCTTTTCATTACACTAGACATACCCAATTTCTGCAACAGTTCTTCATAGGTTTTAAAATCTAGTCTCTTTCCTAGTCATGTTTATTGGTCTTCTTTTGTCTTTTATTTGTTTTTCCTAGATCAGCCAAAACGAAGTTGGCTTAAGAAATCCCTTTCTGGTTTCAAACCTCCTCCTTCATTTTGGTCACAGTGCTAGCCTGGTCTTCTGTCCAGAGCATATTGACCAGAATCCCTGATTAGAGGATTCTCCTGCTTCATCACTTCATCTGAACTAATAAAGGGGGAGGGGAGAAATTTCAGTTTCACCATTTTCCCTACTACTTAGGCTAGAATGGGAAAGTAGCAGAATTCTTGTCAATTTCACCTGAAACTGAGGTGAATTTTAAAAAGTGCATTTTCACAGATCCATCAATGAACCTGGCAGGGGGAAGAGGATGAAAAAGAAAGTCTAGCTTTTACTGTTTGCTGTTGAATTTGTAAAAAAAAAAAAAATGGCCATGAAGGAAAGTCCAGAGAAGAAGAGCTATTCTGGAGTACAATAGCCAACTGGAGTGGAGGTGCTGAAGTGAAGCATTGTGGACAGGACAACACAGCATAAGCTGCCACAAATGAAAAAAATGATGGGCCGTGTAAAAGCAAAGGATAACACAAGGTGCTCCTTCCATAGTAATAATCAGTGGCTCGCGCATATTTGAGGTGGTGCAAATGTGAATCAGCCCTGTGACTAATTTAGATTCTAGCCTACTGCCACAAGGAGGCAGTCTTTACTTATCTTTATCATTGTTGAAACTAGAAAATTCAAGGGAAAAGAAAATATTTTCTGTTCATTTATGTTTTCTCCTTAGAAGCATATTAAAAGAACTAAAGGAATGCACCATATAGAATTGCCTTAAGCAGGGTGCTATTGTACTGTTGAGTATGATCTGTTGTGGTTCACAATCACAGGCGACAGTGCCAACTTGTCGAATTTATGGTACAACATTGGAAGAAACTAAAAATGCTTTGGAGCAGTGTTCCTCAACCTTCTCTTGCTTGTTGTCCCCTTCTAATCTTGTTTTCCTTCAGTGTTCTACCTGTCCAGGCCCCATTAATGGATATGGATATGGAATAGTAACTAATATGTTTTCTGGCATAAAAAAAGACAGTGTCTATAGTAATTGTAAGCTGTCAAGAGATGGGCAGCTATCAAAATTGAATGAATGAATGAATGAATGAATGAATGAATGAATGAATGAATGAGCATTATAGATATTTGCTTTTTTGTGCCTCCTCAAAATGTTCCATGATTTTCTTCTGTGGCTCCTTTGAAATATCCAATGTTCTTTAGGGTGGCTTATGTGTGCGTGCGCGCGCGCGCACACACACACACACACACACACACACACGGTTGCTTTAGATTACAACCTAAAACAATCAACCTTGTTGATTTTTCTTTTCAACCTTGTTTTTGGCAACTTTCAGACAAGTGGAACCAGTATTTCGGAAAAGAAATGGCATTGTTTCATGGAATGTGTATCAGTGATTTAGCAACACTAATAATTTTTAATATTTAATTAGTCAAAATGTTATTTTAGAAAGTTGTAAACTGCCTTGGGAAAACTATTTTTCAGAAGGTTGTATATTTAAAAAACACAGGTAAAAATCTTGAATGCACCTTTCAGGAAGCAGATGTGAGATTCTGGGATCTTCTTCATTATCCGACCCATAAAGAATTTGCTTCCATAGTCTTCAGCACGAATGTAAGCACCGTATTTTAATAATCCAACCTCAAAAGGAGTAAATTCCATCCACTCTACAACAAAATCATATCAGTTACAGGTTCAAAGGAAACACTGGTTTTGCAAAATATGATTTTGCAATGATTGAATATAACTAAATTAGCCTTTAAATTTAATACTTTTTAAAATACTTTTTTGGGCTGCATTTCCACCAAGCTAAGTATATGGGGAGAAATAAAATGTTGAATAGCACTGAAAAGATCAGGTAATGATTAAGGGCTCAGTATCTCTTTTATGGCTGCCTTTTTAAAAATCTTTTACATTGTTTTTTTGTTCCCCCTTACATGACAGTCTATGGTATTTATGTTGGCTCTTGAATTAATGTTCCCTGTTTTCCTGTTGGGATTTATATTTGCAGATGCTCTCCAAAGTCTTCTTTTTGGTGTCAGATAGTTCTGTTGTTCATTATCATTGCAATAACTGAACACTTAGACAGAACTGAATAACTGAACACTTAGACAGAACAATTATTAAAATTAATCATTTCTTTCTGCTGCTTCTTCATGCACACCACAGTTCCTCTCTTAATTGCCAAAACCTCAAAGCCTTATTGTCCAACTCAATTACTTAAGATATTCTAAATAAGCATCTAGTAGCAATTGTCCAAAATCAAAAAATCCATTATTTCCCTTACTTTATCCAAGAACAAGTGGCTGAAAGGAAGTGAGAAAAATAATCAATATATTCAAAATATCCTATGTTCTGAGAAAGTGTGCACACCATGTTATGGCTGAAAAACTCCCCTCCAAGGACTAAAAAAAGAAAAGATAGATACTTGGGTGGTCTTTCCATATTTTTTCTCATTACACAGATCTTCTTACATATCTGTCTTTCCCTGCTCATTTTCTGACTCCACTTTTTATTCTTCCCTTCCCCCAATTTAACAGGCAGTGATAAGGAAATATCTGGCTTATTGAGCTTTGCAAGACAAAGCTACAGTAATGCATCATGTCTTCATTTCTTCAGAAGACCTCATAACAGGGAAAGAAGAAGAAGAGTTAGGCAACAGGGTAGAACCAGAGGTGGTATTCAGCAGTTCTGACCAGTTCTGGAGAACTGGTAGTGGAAATTTTGAGTATTTGGGGGAACTGGCAAATACCACTTCTGACTGGAGATTTTACAGTATCCTTCCCCTGCCACACCCACAGAACCGGTAGTAAAAAAAATTGAATCCCACCCCTAGGTAGAACTCTCACCATTCATTTTAGAGAATAATATATAACATGGCATTGAGACTCCTTCATTGGCTCTAGACCAATAACATCACCAATGTGGTACACATTAAAATGAAATATTTGCCTTTCCTGGCAGACCAATAAGACCCCATTATTGTTGAGTCCTAATCAACGTGTGTAATGTTACCTTTAAATTCTTGAAGGCTATATTTGTCCCTGGTATTGAGGATCATATATATAGGCAAAGGATTCTGACCATAATTCACGGCATGCCGCTGCTCTGACAGTGTGCTGCTACATCTCTGCAAAACAACAACAACAACAACAAAAGATCTTGAAAATGTCATAGATTTAATCCTATCAGAACTAAAAAGAATGGGAGATACCCTGATTTTAATTTCATTCTCCTTATATATTTGATTCATTACTGGAACAAATTCTCACGTTGTTTCTCTATCCCTTTCATATTTCATCTGGGTTCCTTGAAAAGAATAGTCCTGACCAAAAATTTCTCTGAAAACCATTTTCTTTGACATTTTATTTATTGAGAACTATACCCAAACTGCTGGGTGAATTTCAGACCACTTGGAGTGTATTTGGTAAAATATCACCCATGAATAGCATGGTAGCCTTTGAGCTAATCCAAGCAAGAAAGTCTATGGATATTCTCAATAATCTAGGCCAGTGGTGGCTAACCTTTTTGGGCTCCCGTGCCAATAATTGTGCATGCGCTTGCCTGCTCGTGTTCATGTGCCATCACCCAGAAGGCAGGTGATACGCGCACATGCACAATAGACCTTTTCTGGTTGAGTGCTCACATGCCGGCAGTAATGGCTCTGTGTGCCACTTCTAGCACACATGCCATAGGTTCACCACCACGGATCTAGGCCATGGTTGTCCCAAAGGCGCTTTTTCCAAAAGGCAACATTTTCCTTTGAAAATGTTTTGCTTCTTATCCAAGAAACTTCTTCAGTTACATACAAAGAAACACAGCTATTAGGACTATGTCTACTTTTATTGTAAGGCTATGTTGTCATAATCTTATCAGATTGAAAGTATTTATCTTCTCTCCTCTCTAGAAATCATGGGAGGGTCTTTTTCTGAAATGCTTCCCACACTCCCCTTTCTATTAGCTGAGCTATCATTTCCATGATGGTAGTCTAGTTTGTGGCTCTTCCTCCTGTCTCCCAAGATCATTCCCACATGCCATTACATATGGTGGGCCCTGTTCCATCTAACATATTCAATTTGCTGAAGGAAGCAATAAATGTGGCTCTTATACCTACCTTCCCCACTTAGCCTATTAGTTGGGGCTAACAGTATTAAAATAATTCATTTAAAAATAACTAAAAACTACTTCTGAGAAGATGGGCTTAGGGTTACCTTAAACAGCAACCTATTATTGGAGAATTCTAGTAATATGTATTCTCCCAATTATATCATCAGAAAAGAGACTGGGGGAAAAAACTGTAGTCCACATTCACTTAGTTCTAAGCAAGACACTAAGATTTCCTTCTCCATCTCACTGGGATTATCTGCCATTTTATTTGCTAGATTGTGATTATTGTGTCCAACAGAACAGATATGCCCCAATGACTTCCTCAAAATAATACTATGCAATGAGACCAAAGGAAGGTTTGATGATGTAGATATTCTCAGGCATTGGGGCCAAGGTGTTAGACAAGCTCAACCTGCAATATATGTTTGTGTGATTTATGTTGTGCTTTTGTTTTTATTTTTTGCTGCCCCAAATCACGTTTTTGCAGTCATATAGAAGCTAAAAGATTTAGCTTCTCCCATTCTTCAAACCGTTTTCCTAAATATTTCATATGGTCCTCGTGTAAGTTCATAAGTTCATTATGAAAAAATCAACACCTTTATACATTAATTTGTGTACCCCCTCCCAGTTCTCTTTCTATATATTAATAATAATCTGAGATAAGATATCTACAGTGCTCCCTTTTCTATGGTATTGGATTTTAGCAAAGTTTTAGGATGTAAAATGGCAGAAAGTGCAATCAATAAATGCATATTAATATTCACAGTGCTTGTTAAAAGGATTTAATGAACTTTAGAAATAAAAAATGTGACCCTGAAGATTATATATATATAAGTCAGAAAAGTTACTACAGGAACCTTAGGCTGAAATCTTAAATAGACTTAGAAATCCCATTATAACTGGATAAAGTTCCATAATTATGCCAGTGTTATGCTTTTAAAGAAAGACTGTTGTGAACTCAAGAATGGGAAGAAGAGAGTTAGAGTATTTTTAATCTACTGAGCGACTGGTTATATAGTGAAATATCAAAGGAAGTCAGGGTACAAACTTTGCACCTAAAATAAGGATTTTACATTTGGTATACAAAGAAGTTGGGGAGTTGCCAACAAAATATGTTTACATTGTGCTGTGACTTTGGAGGTCCCTTTCAAAAACGGAATAATAGAATAACAGAGCTGGACGGGAGAAGCATTGCATTTAGGCATTTGATCTGAATGTCCTAAAGGTGCTTTTTCAAAAGGCAAATGGACTTTCTTGTTTTTCTTTGAAGACGTTTCTTTGAAGAAAAACAAAAAAGTCCAGTTGCCTCTTGAAAAAGTATCTTTGGGATATTAAAATGACTATTAAAAAAACCATACCTATATGATCATCAGCCAAACAAAGGTAAAAACAAATCCATCACCAACAAATGAAATATTATATTTCTTTAAAACATTTATTCTCCTATGTTGTGCTATGCATTTAGGAATTCCCACCTAAAGCACCTTTGGGACAACTATGACCTGGATGATTCAGAATCTCCATAGACTTTTGATCCGGATGTATTGAATACATAAATGATATAGAGGCTCACCATGTGATCTATCACCCAGTGTCACATCTTCACCTATTCCACTGTTATGACTTGCATGATAAGTATAAGGACTGTTCTATGTAAGTTCCATTGAAGACACTTAGAATCTCCTCACAATCTTTGCATTGGATGTGAACAGGTCAGAAGAAGAGGAAGCATAAGAGCCAGATTTGTACTCTGCACATTCAAACTGAATGTCAGGGTACAGTGTGACTTGCGTTGCTTTGATCTTTCAGCATGTATATTGAGGTTTCTAGCAGAACCCTTTCCTCGTTGAGAAATCAGAAACATCCATTACCCCATTTCCTAATGCTTGGTCGATGAAAATTCCCCAGAGATCAGTAATGCAGGTTTTATAACCATCCTTTTCCCGCTGCTTCAGTATATCATGGTATTTTTTTAACTGGTCTAATGTAAAGCAGTCCAGCTTGCATTTGGACATATTTTTTTGAGCCTCGGCAATCAGTCCTAAAAGATCCTTCTGGGACCAACCAGGTTCTTCATACAGATTTGAAAGTGTCCTACAAAAAAGACACAGCTTGATAATAAGAGGTACATTTCCCTAAATGACATTAAGGGCTATTAACCTAATTTAATATTATTTAATATTTAAACACTTAACGATCATGCTAATTTAAAAACGGTTAATAAAAAAAAGAAGAAGAATTGCGATGCAGCTTTAGGATTTTCCTGCCTAAATACTTTTAAATACTTAGGAAAAATATTTAATAATAGTGAAAATAAGCAGAGCTGACCACAATTAATTCAGTCTATGCAAGAAATGCAGATGCAATTTTTTGGCCCAGTCAGCCAAAAGAAATTTTAAAAAGTCATTTTCAAGTTTGTAAATTTTTTCTTCTCTTTTTGAGCGCTTATTAAATGGCCTTGCAACCCCACCCAGCAAACCTACCTCAGCCCGTCTTCTCCCACGCCTCCACCCTGCAACTACTTATGCCTAACCCAGACATAATTGATCATCACCAACCCCCCATCACCCTAGGAGCTGCTGCAAAACATTAGAAACACCCTCCACCCAACATTGCAGAGGGGCAAACAAGTCCGATGCCTCCCCACACCACCACACGTTGCCCATCACCTCCACACACTGCTGATCACCTCCGCATGCTGCCAATCATAAATAAGGTAACCGCCAGACAGCTGACGACCTGCCCCTGCATTCTTTAGCAGCTGCAGCTCAGCTTGTGAATGCCAGCAGTTCGTGGCAATGCTCCCGACAGGATCGAAGAGGCAGGCTTTGCTTTCCCCAATGCCTGCCAAACTTTGGATCGAGAAAGGCGTCACGAGGAGGCAGGTGTTGCTTTCCCCAATACCTGCCAAGGTGTCGGGCTCCAGCAAAGACTGCTCACCTTGAGCACGACAATGGCTTGGTGGGCATGGCAGGGGAAGGATACTGTAAAATCTCCAGTCAGAGGTAGTATTTGCCAGTTTCCTGAACTACTCAAAATTTCTGCTACCGGTTCTCCAGAACTGATCAGAACCTGCTGAATACCACCTGTGGTCACTTGGTTGGTTAAAAGATAGGCAGATATAGGAATGTTTTAAATAAATAAAATAAATTCTAAATATATGAATTCTGCCCATCATTCCCATTTCCTCATCAAATTAGAGTGGCATTTAAAAGATTATGATTATTAGCAAGAGTATAATATGAACAGCCAATGTGAATGTATATATTTATTTATTTTACTGATTTATTACTTTTATGGCCATCCATCTCACCATAAGGCAATTCTTCTTGTCAGAATATGTGATCGGTAGAGGGGTTAAAAAACAACAACATTTGTTTATATCATTCTTACCAAGTAGAACCGGAAGATCCAGAAATGTATGTGAGGCAGTCTAAGAGATTCAATTTCTGAAGACCAAGTAAATGGCCATGTAAAGCTGTAAATGCCCGAGCTCCACCTCCTGTGGCCATGATAGCTACCACAGGTACCTGTTCAACAAATAAAGCCCAATGAAGTGAAAAAAAAACTCATTTTATCAATGTTAAAAAGGAGCAAATAACAATGGCCGAGTAATTTCACAAATCAAAATTGGAGAGAAATTCCCAGGTGTTTTTTCCCCCTAAATAAATAATAATAACTCAAGCTGTAGGGGTCCTTGGTGCTCTCTGAGCTTGGTTGTTTCTTACAGATGTTCCATTACCAAACTAGGTTAACATCATCTGTGCTAGTAGTAGGGTTTGTTATCATTTTATAAACTTGCTTTGTAAGTGTTAGTGGGAGCAGTCTTGGTGATTCCTTTATTGGGCTGCTGTTTATTATTAGCTTGTTTGTCTTAGTTGGTAATTACTTGAGTGTGGTGTTGTTTCCTTATTGATTGTTGGTCTAATGTTAATTTTGATGTTAATCGCAGCTCATATGGGTGCTGATTGCTGGTGAGGAGGTATCTAAGTCTTTTTGTTTTCTTTTTGGCTTTTTGATTGTCACTTTTGAATGGTATACAGTTTAGTTTATCACTATGCACATTTTGATGGCCGATTTGTTTGAGTGCCAGGCTTCCAGAAATTTTTGGTAGTTTTTAGACTTTGCTTAGTCTAGGATACTCACAGTTTCCTAGTTGAAATTGTGGTTAAGTCTGCCCATATGTTGTGAAAATGTTACCCAAGTCAAAATGTGATGCAAAAATATTTCTGTGTCTAACCTAGATAAATTATGTATTCATTTATCAATCTTCCCCATCCTATTTCCAAATCTGCATAACTCTTCCATCTATGCTTAGGTTTGCCAGAAATCTAGATAATTAATGGGAAACTAAATCTTAATTTTCAATGGTTATGCTTTACATACCTCATGATGTTGCAAATCATTGTCCATGCAAAGAACCCTTTTCAGGGCAGCTGCTACAATTTTTTTCCTTTTCTGTATAAATACTTTTTCATCTGGACACAGTTCGTAGTCTAAACGTACATCAAGCTCTTTTTGCCTTGCATTTAGTCCATGATGAAAGAAATAAAATATCATTGTTATGATTAATTTAGGAAGACACTATAATAATATCCAGAAATATGGAAAAGAATCTCAAGCAAAATGACATTTCCATCCTAACCCAGCCATAGGCTTGAAACACCTCAGATAATAGTAGAGCCAGCAGAGACTAATGCATCATGCACAAAAATCATTCCAAGATAAAAAAACCAGGTTAGAGAAGATCACTATGGAAAAAAATCTAGTTAAGATCCAGCTTGATGACCCATTATCAATCAATAAATTAAAGTATTTTCTCTTACCACTCTTTTACCTTTACACATAAGTCAATTGATTTGTCCTAGGGATAAAAAATACTGTTAATAATTTGTTAAAGTAAATATTGTTTAATTGACAGTTAATTATTATTTATTTGAAAGAGACTTTTTGAGAGCACTGTCTGACATTTTTATGGAAAAATCATCAATTTCTATATTTACCTATATATTCCCTTGTTCCCTCCTTCACACATGTACAATTATATTTGGAATTCCAGAAAGCAGGAATAGATATTTATGTGATGTTTTCTAACACAATGAACTTCATGAAAAAGAGTCAATCCATACACCAGTCAACTACATCACAACCGTCACAATCCTCTTAAAAGGATAATTCTTCTACATATCAAAGAAAAACATCTCAGAAACATCTCACCATGCTACAAGCTCCTGGCATCATTATTGTCCACAAAGCAACAGCATTTCTTCAAAACAATCTTGGCAAACCAGAAAATCAAATGGCAAATCAGAAATGATTTATAAAATATAATGTTTTCTCCTTTTTTGGAGCTTTGAGCCAATTTTTGACTCCAGGCAACTCCCTGGTGACATCCTGCCATTTTCTGGACAAGGTTTTTTCAGAAGTGGTTTGCCACTGCCTCTTTCCTAGAATTGAGACCCAGTTTAAATTAATTTTTATATTTCAAAATCTTCTTGAAATTTAAAGAACACATGCCACAAGAAATAAGCTTTATTGTTGGTTTCTTCTACTTATCCAATAAGCAATGAAGAATATTTTTAAATGGAACCAATGACATGATTTCTGTGAGATCATTCCACATAATTTATTCATGTTGGGCGACATTTCAGACATCTTCCTACATCAGGGGGGTCAAACTGGTGGCCCATGGGCAGGGCAGGCCACGCCCACCCCAGCTCTGCAAATGGGAAAAACAACGTGAAATATCATGTGATGGCAATGTGATGTGGCGAGTTTGACACCCTATCCTACATGTTTGAAATTTGTGATACCTCACATTTTATGCAAGTGCCAAAGCACATGTAGTCCTTGACTTATAACCATTCTGGAGCCTGCCCATTATTGGTTTGTCAGTTATCTGACAAACATAAAGTGGATCATCTATGTGACTGATTCAATTTTACAACCTTTTCTTGCAGTAGTTATTAAGAGAACTCGTTGTTTACTATGGGTTGTTTTTACCAAAAAACTGAAAGTAAAGGTGAGTTTCTGGCAAAACAACAAGAACAACAACTTTGTAAATTGTGGTTAAATGACCATGGGATAATGCAATGTATGCCTGTTGCCGACTGTCTGAAATGCAGTCATGTGAGTGGGCGGGTGTTCCATTGTAACTTTGAATAGTCAACTAGTTGTGAGGGATTGATTGTAAATGCCTGCATAACAATTTTATCTTGCCTGTTTGCAGTATTTCATCTACATGTCTGCATAATAACATTTTCCTTACTTTACTTGAGGAATCTGAAGTCACAACTAAGTTCATGCCTTCAGAGTAAAAAAAAAATTTCTTAGTATCTGTAAAAGATCTTTCTCTGAAGAACTGGAGAATTTTTGGCAGTTTCCACATTGTCCAATGTGTGTGGTGGGGGAGGTGTGCCCTCCTCAGACATTGTTGAATTATTTTAAACATCCCTTTCCATTGGCAGAATAGCTGAGGTGACTGGAATCCACAAAACGTTAAGTTCCATTGTTTAAAGATAAGATTAGTCCTCTATATTAGTTACCTTACAAGTTAATTTACATGTTTAATTCACAATAACATATTGAGCCACCCTCTTTTTGCAATATAAAATTAAGTTTTTAATCTTTTAAAAGATATTAAAGATTTTCCATACTCCACCATGAAACAGTATTTACCTGGGCTACAGTGACTTCTTTTTCCATAGAGATTGAATCCAGAGGTAAAGTAAGACAAACAGTTTTATCTGTGTTTCTACCTGAAAAACACTAAGAGATAGAACAGATTAATACACAACAGCCTTAATTGTTACAAACCTGCAACCTTGAACTCAGTGGAACTTTCTGCTAGGTAGATATGTATAGTATTGCAGTATTAATGTGTTGTATTAATACACAGCAACAGCTATTAAAACAAGAGCACCTTCAGTTTAATTACAGAACACATTTCCATTGACTATAATATTAATTCAAAAATTTTGGATTTTTTTAAAATCAGGAACTATGCTATGTTAGTCAATGAAGACTCAATCGTCCAGTCAAACATGTCTGAAAGTTGAATCATGGCAAGTGGACTAATTTTCTTTATTTGTTATTTTTTTTTGCTAGTCTGAGACATTTCATTGCTCCTCCAAGCAGCTTCATCAGTCAGAGAAAGTTAGTTAAACAGAGAGTTGTTGGAATGTACCAACTCTTGCCACAACAACTTCTGGGTTTTCTTCCCAAAATGCATTGCAAAGGTGTCTAAAAATTGAATCATGGCAACTGAACTAATTTTTTGTTGTTTGCTAGTCTGAGATGTTTCACTGCTCATATTAAGCTGCTTGAATGAACAGTGAAATGTCTCAGACTAGCAAAAAAGCAAAAATTAGTCCAGTTGCCATGATTCAACCTTTAGATTCTGTATATTAAGCAACTCAACAAATCCAGAATCCAGTATATTGCATTAATTGGAAAATAAAGAAGCGTATGTGCTTTTATGATTTATCTATTTTTATAAGAGAGGGAGTTGTTTGTCACCCAGGGAGCATTGGACAGTTGTAGTAAATTTAATTAATTAATTAGCAATCTTTTATTGGCTCATGAAGCTGTGTTGTTAGAGATAGCTGTCTAATATATTTATGAGGTGGTTGTATCAAAACTATGTTACATATCAATAATTAACAAAGGAAACATTTTGGAAACATTCACAATAAGCGCAGGTGATGCTCTTTCTTTGTTGCTGCTGCTACTTCTTTGTTGACAGCTCCCACTTCTTGTTCCAATGAATGCAGGCTAGATACTTAGCACTTTTCTTGAACACAGAGTGGGGTGAATGGCTATTGCTAACTAAATCTGTCTGCACATTTACATTGGAAGACACATATTAATGTATGTATGCACACACAAACACCAATATGGCAAGACAGCCATCACATTACACTGCAATATGTGGGCATAGTTTATTGGAAAGAATCAAATTAATTAGAATTAATCAACAGTGTATGTTTCACTTCCAACTGAATAGGTTTAGCTACATCAGCAAATTAAACCATCCCTCGAATAAGAATGATTCATTTTCATAATATGATGGAAAGCCCAAAGAAGTTTACATTGAAATACCTTTGTTGATCTTAGAAAATGCCATATTATTATTTTATTCGGTTTAACAAAGGAGAAAATAGATTTTCTGCTCACATCATATGTATGTACGTATGTATGTATGTAGGTAAATAGAGTATCACAAGTGTACTCATCAGTGTGACAACAAGTGTTAACTAGCTCCAATGATTGCTAGATGTCCCTAGATGTAGTTGGCAGAAGTCCTGCCTCTGTATTTTTATTCAGAATAAATGTATGTGCCTTAAAAACATACAGAATTTGTGCTACACAGATCCTTTAGTAATTCAACTTTTAGGGCAGATTCTTTATACTTGACGCATTGAAATTCAAGAGGAACAGAAGAAGTCAATGGAAATTTCTGAGATTCTTCATAGCATCCTTGCATAGTAAATAAAGCAATTTCATCTGTGGAGAAGTAAAGATACAGTTACACAGGGAACTCCTTCATTAATTAAGTCAAACTTAACTTGCATCCCATGGAAATATAAAACAAAGAAATAACTACTGAAGTAAAATGTTACAATTCTCTAAAGCACACTCTACAATAGAATAGAATGGAATGGAATGGGTTGGAATAGAATAGAATAGAATAGAATAGAATAGAATAGAATAGAATAGA